CAAATGACTGTAGTTGTTCAAAGACATCAAGATCTGTGTGACTTTGCAAATTCAGTCCTTGGTTATACTCCTGCAATCCTACTATCATCAAACTAATTGCAGAAGCGTAACCCAAGGAAAAAGTTTCACTCGTATGTCTGTGAGCCTGACTCTGTAATCCTAAACTATTTTATGGTACCCAAGTGTGGAAATAATCTAATATTTCAGCATGTTTCAGCTAATTGCCTTCCCAAAAATGAAGTGACCCATGAAGTCCAGTTCTTTGTGCAGAACTGGAAATTTTGCATAAATCCTTACTATTGGAACAGATGGAGGATTCCTACCTGCACAAGCAACCTCCACTGCTGGTAGCTCAGCTTCTTCCACATTATTGTTAGTGTAACCTATCACCTAAAACCACAGGTCAAGTATTCTTATAGACTCATAGGAATATACTGTAAAAACTAAACTGGTTGCTAATCAGTGAACTGTTGTAGTTAACCTACACTGAGTAGTTTACTGGAATAGGATGATTTCGGTCTTTCAAATTATAGGAAGTATTTTCATAATGATATTTCTTTGAGCTGAAAGCTGTATTTTGAACCCCAAGAGCTGCAGGAAAGCAGAAGTGAACTACATGCAGTTTAACATTCTGTTAATGTTAGAGGTGTAAATGGTAAGCTGACCATCTAAATGTAAATGCTACATGCTGTGAGAGATGAATCCCTTCATCACTCTTCTCACGTGTGCTGAACAATGGGCCCTAACTCAGGCCCACTGACACAGGGACTGTTTGGGTCTGGTGCCATGTATATGATAATATTGGTAATACTCAGCAGTATCATGCTTCACTGTCCAATGGAAAAAAGAGGATTTGTTACTTGCTTAAAGGAAGATTTACTGAAACAGACCTTAAAGTTAATCTTACTGTATGGCTGAAGGGCTCAACGCCTCTCCCCGTCTTCTAGGGTACGTTCACTGAAGACAGTATGTTACTAGCATAGCTAGTAACTAGCTATAGTTACTAGCATAGCTAAGGGTCCACTTACTTCACAGGCATCTCAACCAAGGCTTTGTTTTACTGAGAAAGAATGCTGTGTTCTGGGGCTTAGAGCACAATCAGCTGTGGATTTTAATATTCTTATGCCTGATTAGGAGTCCAGGTAAGAAGCAGAGCTGGTAGAACTTATTTCCATATGACAATGTAGGAAGAAAATAATTAAACTGAAGAGAAATGACAACTTTTTTTGTCAATGCTTCTCCCCCATCCTCTTTGGTTACTTATGAAGCTCTCTTTTTTCAAATTTGAAAGATCAAAAAAGAAAAACAAAAGAATATTTATTCCACTATTTCGTAGTTCTTCTATTTTCGTTTTAAACAACTCTAGAAGTGAACCTTTTTCTTCCTACTGTGGTTTAAGTTTCTCTGCCCGAGGTATGAGAACACAGGATTTCATAGTGACCACAAATGATAACATTGGTTAACTTGGCTTCAGGAGCTTCTTTCAGCTTCTCCTGTTAAAAGAAAATTTCTGGTACTCAGAGATCACATAGTGAAATTCTAGCCCCACCAAAGGCTCCAGGAAACTCAGCTGCATTTATTGATAACAGAGCTTAGCATCTATTTTCATGATAAATATGCCCCAAACCTGTATCTGTGCAGGTTTTCTTTATAAACTTTTTAAAATCTAATTATTCAACAAGACATTATCCAAGTTGTAAAGAACCTGTTAAGCATTGCCAATCCTGTTAACTTCATTGTGATGAGCACAAGTGCAGTAGGAGTCATCTGACAACAGACAACAGGGCTAACCCTTGTCTTCCGAAGCAATTCACAAAAGTGTAAAACAATCTTTTCATCTTTTTTTTTGCAAGTGGAATGACACCTTTTGTCTTCAGAAACATGTAAACTGTCACTGACTGAAACATCAAGCTGAGCCTTGTTATGCCTGTTTATATGAGACCAATTGTGTACTACTAATCTACAGGCTTTGAAAGTGCTTCACTTGCTAAATCCAGTTGAAGACTGAAAAGTGCTTGATAAATCCTCTGAGTTCTTTAACTTTGAAGAATTCTTTTGCACCCGAGACAAACAGGATTAGTATATGTGGCCTCCCGTAAGGGAGCTCTGGATCTCCCTTTCACTGACAGAGCACCCTTGCCATTTTTCCTCCCATTGGCACCTCTTGATGAGAAAGGTAAAGAGATCAGTAGGTTTGTAGAAGCATTTTTTTAGCCTGGCCCTAATAAAATATCCATTGAGCTCTATGTGTAACAAGATTGTGATTCAGAGCTTTCTAATGTAGCTGTAAAGCATGTTCTGGGCAACATTTTCTGATAGGAAAATGTGCTGAAGGCAGTGGAATGCTTTCTAATAAATTCCAGAAGCTCTGGATCAGGTCATAAAATTTTATCCTGTTGTTTTTTTGCTCTTTCCTCCTACCCGCCTTCATTTTTCTTTGCTGTTGAGGTTACAGCTCCATCACTGAATATGTTCTTCTAGTAAAAAATACAGAGAAACCAAAGCTTACATGATCGCTGTAATTAGAGTTTAGAGATTGATTGGCTCTCATAAGTACTTTAAATGACTTTTAAAATGAAACCTTACAAGCTGCTAAAGGCTAAGCAATCTGTGGTCCCTTTGCAGGTGCTTTTACCTATGTTCACAAATGGCTTTTACTTTCCATTTACTGAGAGTCCTGGCAACCACCTACCCTTGTATTCAGAGGAGAAGCAGACTCTGCTCTGGCAGCTAGGAGGTGTGAGCAGGGTTGAAAAGCAAGGCCTTTTACCCACCACTCCTTCCAATGTACGTGTCATTGTGACCCAGTTTGTAAAAGCAGTGGAGGGCCATCCTGTATCCTGAACATTGTCTGCAGAGCTGAGAGGGATTTTGCTGCCAGGGAAAATGCCTGGCAGGTTAAAGTGCCTGGAAATTTAGCTCATTCATTTTGGAAGCATTTTAAGTCCATCAAAAAGAATTCTGTCCTAGGACATGGAAACGCAAGTGACTGAATTGCACAAAAGCCTTGCTTGGCCCCTTCAATGCCTAAGGAGCTTGGCACCTTTTGAAAGGCAGTCTGCCCATTTTGGCTGAGCTTCCCCCTGCAGCCATTCTGGGACAACAGACAAGGTGTTTGTGCACTTGAGTGAGCAAAATGTAGACCTCTGCAGAACACAGGAGCACGCATCTTCAATACTGAGTTCAAAAGTGATAGCCACTGGTGTAAAAAGCTCTGGTATTAGTATGGCTGCTCCCAGCCTCTAGATGACATTTGAGCCCCTAAGAGCATTGCTCTGGGAAGTGTAAGATTATTCCCTATGCCCTTTTCAGGCTGAGGAAGATCAAATACACATTGTCAAACACTACCAGCATCCATACTGCGGGCTCTTTCCAAAGTGGAGGTGCTCTTCACCCTCAACTGTATAGAAAGGTTTCACAAGGATTAGGCCCAGAGAAGCCAGGGGGAAAATGAAGTGGGTATATTTGGGCAAAACACTAACCATGCCAAGAATAGCTCAACTACCAAAAGTAGCATAGCAATGCTGCTTCTCAGCAGAATGGTTTGATGCAGGTGAACCAATGCACAGAAGACTCAGCCTTTCCTGGTATCCCACTGTATGAAATAGGTAACAGACAAAAGCAACACATCAGAAAGAGTTCTCTGTTTATCATTTCCCTATTCCTTTACTTAGGTGTCTTGCACCTCAGTCTTTCTCCCCAGTGTATTCCCTTCATAACAATGGTTAGTGAATCCTGCTGCCAGGGTTGAGTGCATTTGTATCTGGGCCTCACTTTTCTGCTTGCCTGTCTGGTTTTTAGCATACGGTTCCTTGCAAATAACAGCAAATGCTTTGGCTCACAATGTTTTTCAAATCGTGTTTAGCACAGAGGAAAAGCATCTTTGGCAGCTCTGCAAACTTAATCTTGAGATACAATAGACTTTTACACTGCTGTAGTTTAAAAAGTTAATAGTATGCAGTTTAAAAACTGCATGCCCAGATAGTAACATGACAGGTTTTAAGCAGCTTTAAGCCTCCTAAAGTAAACAGTGCTAACACTAAAAAATTGTTATTTCAAGCTCTTCCCCCCCCCCTTTTTTTTTTTTTTTTTTTTTGTAAGGAGAAACCCTGCAAAGATGGCAAATGTGCATCGTTTCTGTCACTTCATAGGAAAGCAGCAAAACATACAGAAGAAAAGCCTTTCTCTCTGGCTGATTTCCCAAATGTACTTTGAGTTACCAACCACATTTAAGAAGCTGCTGGAGCTTCTCTGTAAAGGGAGAAAGTACTGAAACAGAAAAAGCATTGAGCAGAATATGCAATGACTGTCACAATTATGGGCATCAAACACAGGGTTTTCAGACACAATCCTTTATCCTGCAGATGTTTCAGTTCAGTGTGTTGATCAGCACATTGCCCCAGGAAATTGCCTTGCTGATCAAAAGGTGTCTGTGTGTGCTCCCCTTGCACATATCCAGCATAGTCTTTTCAGGATAACTACTAGTTTGAATATACAGGAGCTAGCAAAATTGTAGACAAGCAGTTGAAAAACTCCACTGGTGCACCTTGATTCATTAGAAGTGCTGCATCTATAGCAATCAAAAATATTTCCTTCACATGTAACATTCAGCACTTATGATGTATGTAGGAATGTAACCCTTGCCTCTTTGTTTAATGCTCTCATTTGGGAAACAAGTGCCTTTTGAGGTATCAGGAAATGCAAGCTCAGTCATGGTAACATTTACTTTTCCTTTCAACATGCTGTATATAAAATCTGCCAGTGCATGAGAATTTTCTTGGTACTATGGTCAGGAGGCCAAATCCTTTCCTGTTATTATCTCGTTCACTTAGTTGAAGTGATGTCAGAAGAAAACTTAGTTTTATCTCTGCATTGTCTTTCTTGCTAGAATTGTGGTCACTATATAAAGCTGGCTACATGTCACTTGTTTCTGTGCCAGGAAATAGCTTTCCTTCTTCACTCAGGTGATAGTGAATTAATTTGTACCTTTCCTTTGTCAGATGCTCACCTTGTGCCATTTTGCATGTGAGTTTTGAAGATACCAGGGACTAGCTGCTTCTTTGAACTTCACTTGACAACTGGAAGGACTTGACAGTGAGATTCCACCTTATGGGTGAGCACTCAGAAATGGAGCTTCCATTATGTCTTGCTAGTGATGAAACTTCAAACCACACTCTGCCTCCCCCATCAATCTAATGATTAAGGGCTCAACATTTGGATCTGGGTTCACCCACTTAGGTCTCTGAGCATTTACCCAAGACATCAGGTTGTTTGTTCAATGCCCAGAAAACTACTGCTATAGGGAAGGTTACTTAGTGGCAGGCAGAATTGCCTATCAGAAGCAGCTCTATTTCCTACCCTCCTCCATGTTGGCATCTCAGACTAGGGCCTAATATTATTAAGAAGACTCTACTTTAACAGTGTGTCAGGGAAAACAGATTTATGGCAAGGAGACCCAAGGAGGTTAAACAACCTCCTGTGGACAGGGGAACAGTGTGTCTCTACTTGCCTCTTAAGAGGCAAAGGAAAAAAAGGAAGGATTGGGTCTTTCTCCCCAGTGTCCTCACCTAATTTTCTTCCAACCCAGCTAAGCCAAGCCAGAGGGAAAAATAAAGAAGCAAAATATTTCTGTGTGTGTGATTGTTCAATCTGCTGTTTCATAGAGAAGCAACATGTGGCCATAATTCAAGCCTGTGTTCAGTCATTAGTTCTACAAAGCATTTGCACTTTTATTTAGAAATTGGATTTGGTAAATCTGACGTGTTCTACTGTGGACCATGAGGGAAGTTCATTAGAGAAATTGCAAGGCTAAGGCCTTTTTACATCAGAACAGGCCTTTGGATTTTGTTAATCAGGTACATTTGTTATTTACACTGATGATAAATGTTTGACAAGTAATCAGCTTTGGGAGGGACATGATTTCCTGCTGCAATCTGGGTTTGTGCTGTTAATAACAATAATAATGTTTGACACCAGTACAGCCAGTGTAAGCAAAGGATAGAACAGATTTCCCAAGCTCTAGCTGGCTTAATGTGGTTTTCCATGTCCTGCTGAGAAGGGTTTGCCAAGGACAGGCCTGTTGGGATCAAAAGAACATGGGAAAACAAGAACAGAGGCTTGGTGCAAGTTGCCATTGTGTTTGAGGATGGATTACTGGGTTTGCTAGGATTTCTCTCATTGCATTTCTCTCAGATGGATTTAATTTAAGACTGATCTTTTCAACGTAGTGCTGGGAAAGGATTTAATTTTTTGACAAGAAATTTGAGTAGGATTCTGAATAAACTGTTGAAAATCTTCAGCTTTTTCTTGCAGATTAAACATTTGTTGAGGTAGTGGTTGTTTTTTGTTTCGTTTGATTTTTTCCTGTCACAGGTGTTTGTTTCCCTTCAAAAGTAAAGGAGATGTGTTTTCATTGAAAGAATGAAAGCCTGCAAGCATAAAACATTTGTTTTCATTGTGAAATGCCATCCTCCCCCCAGTAACCCAAGTTTAGTCATTCAAACATCTAGTATTTTCCGGGAAGTGGGAAGGAAGATCCAAGAAAGGAATTTCCAGAGACATGTGGTATCTGTGCATGTTTGAAGAACATCACCCTGCCTTGGATCTGTATATGTTTTCCTCTGTTGCAAAATCATCTTTTGTCCAGATATGTAACTATTTGGAGTGAAAATAGTTCCTGATGCGTCCATTTCTGCATCTCTGGGTAGCTGTTAGGATCTGCTGCAGTTAGGATACAAAGAACCAGCAGTTTTCTTTTTACCTTAGTTATTATGCAAAGGGTCCAGACAAGATTAAGAGCTGTTTGACTGACAGAAGAGCAACTTTGCCATTAAACAGAAGTGAAACACTCACATACGTGAGAGCCCTTATCCTCCTGAACAGGAGCAGGTATTCACTAACTTGTGCACTGGTGCAGTGTTTCTTTTTTATGGCTGATTGCTTAAATAGCGCAGCTGAGCCCCGCGTGGCCCTGCTGGTGCAACGTGATAGGTCTCAGAGGGCAGCAAAGGTTACATGCCACTTTGATGATTTTATTCAGCTTGATTCCTGGCTTTCTGAAGCTGCAGCCCAGCCCTTTTCTGAAATCTTCCTGATAGCTGTGTCATCTCAAAGACCTGTCACCCACATTCTATTCATATATTACTTCTTTATTGAAGATCTGTTTTCTTTCAGATATTCCTGTTTTGAGTGAAAATACAATTTTTGTAACACACTTGTGTGGGTTTTGTTTTGTGTGAATACAAAGTTTGGACTCTCATTTCAGCCTTTCTATTGCAACTTTTGCAATATATTTGATTGATAGATTTTATTGCTATGGTTACTCCAATTTTATACAGCAGATTTTATGTGCGAGAGTAGTATCATGCTCTGCCCTCATTCAGCCTGCTTTGTTTGTTAGTGTTTATTGGGGGGGGGGGGTGTGTGTGTTCCATTTCTTTCCTTGAAAACAAGCTTTCTGCAAAATAGGGAGCTTCCACTAAGTTCTGCACTGCTATCTTATAGAGAGAAGAATCTCATGTGCTGATGGACCAAGAAATTCCACTATTCACAGGAGCTCAGAAATCAAAACCATACAAAAAGCTTCCATCTGATTACATGGTGCTCTTTTTTTTTTTTTTTTCCTTAATTTTTATTTGGAAAAAACATTTTGCAGGGCAAGTCACAGTGATTTACTTGTGTGCTGCAAGCTGATTTAGGATGCTTATTCGATCAGTCTGCTTCTAATGACACTAGAAATACCGTAATGGATGGAACATTCCTGGCCTGCTCTAAATTGGATTAGATGGTTTACTAATGTAATACCAGCAAGGCAAATCAGCCTGTGATGCCATGGGGATTAATCTATAGGGAATATTTGATCTCTAATGCCCAAGTGCTAGTTGAAGTGCAGTCATATCATTTGATTTAATAAACCATTTTTGTATTTCCCAGCAGTGTCTCTGTGTTTCAGCAGGATGAGCTAATTGTTAGAATTACCCTTTTTAAATGAAACTTCATAACTTGCTGCTAAGTGGAAGAATACCAAGTACTTCAGTCTTAAAAGGTTTGGCTGTTGTTTATGCAATTTCTTCTTAATAGCTTAAATGCTAAGGACCATACAAGGATTTGGTGGTCTCTGTTAAGAGACAAAGCTTACAATCCTGATATGTATTGTAAAGTACTCATTTGTTACTGAACAAAAGATATATATCCCAGTAAGTCCAGTATATTAGATCAGGTTTTATTCTGGTCATCACGTACTTCTTCTAAAAATTAAACCTTGTGATACACAGACAATTAAAAATTACTCAAATTATTAGGAAATAGGTTTAGAAATAAAGAATAATTACACAGTGCCACTTTTTTGGGTGTCAGGTTTTGTCACCATGCTGTTTGTTGAGGTGTTCACTGCAGATCTCTCTAACCTTTGGCTGGCAGATGGCTTGTGCAGGTAGCAAAGAGAGGCACGGGGGAAAGAATAAGAGAACTGCAGAATTACAAAGCCAAAACTTGCTCTCTGTTTGTGTGTGTGCCTCTCAGCGCAGTTGTACTCATTGATAGCTTTTACTAAAGTGGATGTAAAATGTCTGCATTATGCCCAAGTAACTTTGCTGTTAAAGAAGTCATCCTATGCCAACTGAAATTTGCTGTAACTTCATAATTGATTTTGATGGCAGCAGAGCAAATCTTTTGGTGAAATTAATAAATTGATGCATATATATATGTGTGTATACATATATATGTTTCCTGGCATAATTGCCTTAATTCAAATAGTTATAACATAATGTACAGAGACCTGAAGTAAAACCTATCCTCTTCACTTTGCCATCTGATTAACTGCTTCTATGGCTAATATTTCAGACTTCCATATGGATGATGTAAACATTAAACAGCACTTACCATAATATGAAAATACATAATTTTCCCCACCAAATTTTGCATGCCACGCATCCAAGGCAGATACGTCTTTCCCTTTCATGGAACTGTGACAGATCCTAATTGAATATCCTGACTAACACCTGAGTTCAACACACCTAACTGAATTCTTTATCACAGCTAGGATTTTAGGATTTCCAGTTATACGTGTTGAACTATGTACCACACAGAAGCATATGTTTCTAACCTTGGCCCTTCACAAAATATTAGACCATAAAATAATTACATGTTAGTATATAGGAACAAGATTTTAGATACTTGTAATAGTATAAATAATTATTACTAATATTTCTGTCATACCAGGTCTTTTTCACAGTAAATGAGTAAATCTATTTGAAAACTGTTTTGAGAAATAGTACTATAAAAACAGTAGGTTCCTACATTTCTGTCTGAAATCTTTTTTCCAGGAAGCAGCATAAACAGAAATCAGGATAGGATTTGCTAGTCTGTATCAGTCTGTTTTGCTGGTAATTAAAGTGGACTTTAAGGTATTTTGCTTCAAATGATAATCTATCAAATATATCAAAGAATCAGACTACATGTTTAGCTTCCCATCTGTTTTATGTGGCAAAAGATGTTTGATCTTTTGGTTGCCATTGAAAAATTGTTCATCCAAAGAGATCTCCAAATATTACCATATGAGCTGAATTATATTTACTTGCTGGAGTTGTCTTATCCTTCATTAGACCAGTTCTCTTTAGCTGACATTTTTAAAATAGAATGTTTTTCACTGGTAGTGAGTCATCATGAGTTGAATACCTCATGCATTTAGGTTTCTGTGAAAGTCTTGTCTCACTATAATGTTCTGTATCTCTGTTTCTCACTTTGTCTTGGTATGTGGGCCAGAATCTCACTATATGATAGTCTGAGCGTATGAGGAGGCATAATGTTAAGGAAACAATTGTAGAAATTAGTTCCTGTGATTAGGTTGGTCAATCATTACTTATTTCCAGCAGGGAGCTTTCTGACAGATGTGGACAGCTGTTCTTTGAATTACAGTACTAGCTATAAAATTTCCAGCAATGGTAAGACACTTGTGGTAATAAATCAAGTTTGGGAGAACCAGCATGCATTAGCTGTTGTGTTTGTGTGCTACTGACATGAAGGGACACCTTTCCAAACACAATTGCTTGAATTGTGCCTAAGTATTTTCATGCAAGAGCAGAGATTGAGTTTTGCATTTGACCAGAGCTTTGCATTTGTTTGTGCATGAACACATGCTGTCTGTTCTGTCTTGAGGAAGTACATCTGAGATGTCGATATACTTGGAAATTTTACACTGGAAGATGTATATCATATCTGACATGTGACTGTTGCTGTTATGCTGTAAATTTCAGTAGAGTTAGTCAATTTAGAAGAGGACTATAGTTAGAAATAAAATTATTAACTAACATTTAGAAAACATGCCAGATGTAATCATGAAATAAAAGTGTATGAGTTTTGAATAATGAAGAATAACATGACTCCATTTCTATTACTTAGGTTATGTCTTGGAGTATCTAAATATACTTCTGTCCGTTGGCATTCCTCTGCATAGTGCAAACATTCCTGATACTGTGACAGAGTAGAGGGTACACAGGCTTTATATCATAACTGTGTGGATCCCAGGAGTCTGACTTGTTCTTGATACTTAAAATCTGCTGAAGAAAATTTAGAAATGCAGCTATATAAGTATTTATCCAAAGTATGGTGTTTATAAACATTACATGAATGTATTTATTCAGCTTTTCATGTAGTGAGTTCCAAATAATAATGACTTTGAATGGAGATGAAAATAAGAGGCAGAAGAAGTGCTAGAGTAGTTCCAAATGCCCCAACAATACTGAGATCCTGTGCAGTCAATTCAGTGACTAGGACACACTGTATCTAATAACTCCAAAAACCTGTTATTTCAAGGGCATGTTTTACAACAGTTTTAACCTCTGATCATCTGGGTTATGTCCAGCTCAAAATGAAAGATCACTATGATCTGGACAGTGATAGAGACTTACACTTCTGGTAGAAATATATATATAAAGATGTAGCCGTTACACAGCTTTAAGTATGTAGAAGATGTTTACTTTGAATTTAGGATTCATTTCCCTGTGTATTATCCAAGATACTTCAAACATTTTAAAGACCCTGCTATAAATGCATACCCACTATTTTCCACAACTGTGGAAAGTCATGAAAAAACAGGCTTTGAAACCTTTCCTCACCAGTGCACACATACAAGCTGTCTGAAATGTTTTAACTTTTCTCACTGTCAAGCCATATAACTGCTTCCAAAGACACCTGACTTTACTAAAGAAGAGCTATAATAAATTGTTCCAATAAACATTTCCAGAAATGTTCTGATGACACTCAGATCCACATAAAGGTAGAGTCAGTAAAGAGCAACAAACAAGCAGTACTTTACCGTTGCTGTAATGCAGCAAGAAAAGTACTCTGCTCCTGAGAACTTTATAGTATATGTTATGAAGCATACCCTGCCTTGTGCAAGACAAGAAAAACTGTAGGATGATGATGATGATGACTTGAAACAGCACAAGAATAATGTTCTGGTTTTGTACTCCACCACTTTGCACTCCTTGACTTTCAGAAGCAACCATTTCATAAGTCGTATTTGCTTTCCTTTGATTTACAATTATTGAAATTTTAATAAGGATAGTGCAGCGACACCAGACATCACATATTGTCAGTGAGAAATTATAACTTTATTGCGGCACACACTGACAGCCAACTCATAAAAATGAATGACATTCTATATCATAACATCTCGTAGGCTGTTCAGCATGTTAATAGCTCACTTCATCTTTCTTTAGCATAATGAGGCAGACAGTGTACCAATATTCAACGTGAAAATGAAGATTAAGAAAATTTGAATTGAAGCAAGAAAGCAGCATTTAGCAGAGGTTCAGGCAACATTCAGATAAAAAGTTTCAATTAAAGTACTGTTAGGGAACCTTTTATCACTGGAGCAAGGCTTTGCTACCAAAGACCAACACTTACTACAAAAAATGTCATTTCAAAATGGCTTTTGAAGTACTACTTTTGAAAAGATCTGTAGTCTTTCTCTTATCCCATATAGTACTTTTTTCTGTAGACTCAATTGTATAAGGTTAGATTGATTTTTAGTAAGCTATTTTATCATAGTAGATCAAACTGAAAAATTGAAGCAATACTTCGGAAAGTGAGTAGGCATTTTTAGGACTTAGATGATACTTTTCTTTATGCTATTCTACAAACTAAAAATATTTAGTAGCCAATCTACAAACTACTGATATGTAAAGCACTGATTACAACATATGAGTGTCTCTGAAAAGGGTATTCATAGATCTACTTCAAGAGATGCAGTTACAGCAATAATATTTATGATGCAGAAGTAATACTTAAAAATATGCTTAAAGAAATGTAAAGCAAAGCATAATGGTTGATAACCTGTCAGGTTATATTAGAGTTTTTTGCTACTTTCATTAGCAGTTCCCAGTGTAGCTACGTAAACTTGGATAAAACTGTCCTTTTACTGTCCCTAATCTGGGGGTGTTATTAATCAAAAACTCCATAGTCATTGACAGCCCTGCTTAAAACACCCCTGCAGACTCACTGCAGTCAACTATGAACGTATTTCTTCACAGGATGAACCTGTATCAACTAGCTGTAGCTACTTACATGAGTAAAATTATCAAGTAAAATTATGCAGCTGAAGTTGCTGCTTCTGGCTTTAATTTTGCTGATGATCAATGGCAAACACTCGCCTTAGCCTTGTAAAGCTTCTACTTCATCTCTAAACATAGAAAAATTACAGAAATGTAAAATCTTGGAAAATTCCTAAAACAAAATATTTACTGTTTTAAAAATGCATGCACTTTTGAAACAGTTTTACAGATTTGCATTATCTAATGCAGCATCTGAGCCAAATTTAACTTTTTTGATGTGGAAATCTCTGTTGTAGGTGTTGGAAGGGAATGCATCCCATCATCTGGATAGAGCACAGTATATGGATATTTGTTCTTGGAACAGGATGGCAGATTTGGTCCTTTATCATTCTAGAGGGGTCTTTCAGTGGGGTCCCTGTGAGAAAAATGTCGGGTCAGTACAATGTTTCATCCATCTCAGAAGTATCTGTGATCAGCCATCTTATTTTGGGATCTCCAGTCCACCAGTGGTGAAGGTCACTGGTGTTCCAGGGCACCGAGCCCCACCAGACTGCCTGCCACTGAGAGCCTTCTGCTGCTGGAAGTGACCACGGGTCCAGAACAAAGTGACTGATATTTTACTGTTTTCACATCCCAGTTGTAAAGGGGCTGACTTAATCCTCAGGCTTGTTTTTTACCATTAGTCCAACCAAAAAGTGATTTCTTCTGAGCATTCCCGTAACATCTGACACCTGCATTGTTGTCAGCTGAGGTACATGAAATAACAGGAACATCCTGGAAGCACTACTAAGGACACATCAATTTTTCAGCCAATTTAATTGAATTTTCTATCCTTGTTCCAAGTACAAAGAAATTAGCGCTGTATGTTCCAGCTATAAAAGACACTCCTAGTGATGTATGCTCTCTGTGGAGACCCATCTACCCAAATTTAATGGTCCTTCTCTGTTTTTCTGAACTGCTTTGGCTACTGCTTTTTTCAGCCTTTTGATTTTAAACTGTTATTTCTTCAGCATGCTTTTCAGTTCATGCCATTTGGGTTTTCTATCACCAACCAACTATTCATTCTGACTTGTTAGTTAATGGCCTAAGCTGACTCCTGATTTGATTCTTCACTCATTAAGACCTTTCATTATGGGTGATTTTAAAATTTATGCTGATGCTTTGGAACCTCCACTCTTACAAAGGTTTAATGATTTGTTGAATCTCCTCAGTTTATCACATTATGTTAATTTTCCTTCTTGCAAAATAGACCATACATTAGATTGGGTGTGTTACTTAATCTTCATCACAGTAATATACTAATCTTTATTTTTCATTCGCATTTGTTTCCTCATTGTGGACTAGCTGAAGATTTCCCTCCCTTTCCTTGCATTTTCTGTTGTATTCACCAGCTGCCTGGAGCTCAATCAATGACTTGCATGAAGACAGTTCTCAGAGCCAGCCAAAGACCCTTCCCAGGTCCTTCTGTCTCCCTTTTGGTTGACCCCTCTATGTCCTCCCCTTCTCTCAGCAGTACGGGATTCTGGCTTGCAACTCCTTTCCCTTCATTCATTTGGTTCCATGTACTGTCAAGCACACAGTGGCCATATTGATATTTATTGCTTTTTTCCCCCATGAAATTAAGATTCACATTTCTGTATTTCTGCAAACAAAAAAAGATTAGACTACTTCATTCTCGTTTGCTGGTTTGCCTTGTTTTAACTATGCTGTATCTATTCCTAAAGCTAATCCACCTTCTGCTGAGTATTTCTTTCCACTCAAGGTCAGCTCCTAGCTTGCTAGAATAAACCTGCAATTACTTTTAGAATTAAGAAAGCTTAGGTAGTCTGACTAAACATAGTGAGTTTTAATCCAAACTATACCATTCCTTTTATTTCACTGACAGCTGAGAAGGTGGTAGTGAAATAGGTTTTGCAGCAGCTTCATATATTTGATTTTATCAGTAAGTCTTAGTTCACAGATCTGATTGCTCATTGGAAAAACTCAGAAGTAGTTCTCTGAAGCTACTGAGTTTAATTTATCCCTATGTCATAAGTGAGTTCAGCTTAGGACTGGAGGTCTGATGCAGATAAGTACTACTTTAAAGGTTATCTGGCTTTCTCTAGGGTTTAGAAAGTATAGCTGCAGTGAAGAGTAACTGGAATGCAACCACTGTCTGGCAATATCATGGGCACCAGCACATTTCTTGACAAAGTGCAGAGCCAGCCATATACATCAGCTGATGACATGTAAAGGTTGTCTCCCAGGTTGATGGAATCACTTCTCACACCTGCAATATGAATGTGCCATATACTTCAGCCTATGACAGGTAGGGACCATCTCCTCAGTTGATGAAGTCAGGTCTTGCTCTCATAATAAAAATATACCTTAAAACAGGCATTATCTGGGCAAAACTAATACATGGGAGGGCTTCCTGTGCCATGTTACTTCATACAAAGATAATTGCCTTGAATTCATGCGAGTTCAGTTATGTAAATCCAATGCAATCTTGCTAAAATTATATGTACTGTTTTATTTTGCACCAAGTCATAGAGTTCAAACTTCTCAACTGATAGTGTGCAGCCAAATAATTGCTCTACCTGATATCTCTATTTTCTCATTTATCAAACTTCTTTTTTCAAGATCCAGGTATCTGTGATCTTTTTCTCTTCATTTCAGATATGGACTGGTTTATAAAATGTCTTCTGTTATTATTTAGCTAATGCCATTTGTCTGAAGAATTATTATTGTAACTGCTGAATGCCTTTTGTGGTCAAAACCCAAAGGTAACATTATTCATGTACATTGTTTGTGGTGTCACTGGCATGCAGAAAATACCCAGATATGCTTTCCAGTCTTCACAGATCTTGAAAAGCAGTTGATGTTTTGCATAATTTTCTGAGGCATACTTATAGATAGATAGCTTCATATTCATTTAAACCTAGTGCATAAAGTCAAGCTGCTGTTGAGTTTCTGTTTTCCCAAAGTTCATTCAAGGTAAAAACAGCAGCTTTCTGCACTTGATTTTTTTCCCTATTTAATATATCTGTACCTAATACTAAAGTTATTTGCAGGTGATACAGGCTTTTTAGTTTGGTCTTACATTTCAGTGTGCAAATATCTTATTTATAGTTTTTATGACATCTTTGCTGAAGAAAATCCTCCCTCTTACATGTGTACATATATATATATGTATGACTTCCCAAGGAAATGTCTGAGGTCTTATACAATTCCTGTAGTCTATTCACAATTACTTGCTTTTAGTGCTATACTGTTTCCAGATTGTTTTCTTCTTTGATTCAGCTTCTCAGAGGAATGGAGGTTGATGAAGAATAGGTGAAATTAAACACTCCTTTTATTAACAAGGCTTTTTAAGCACAGAGTCTGCTCTCTGCAGCTCAGCTCAACATGCAGAGGCAGAGAGTAAGAGCCAATACTCTACACAGACTCCTTATGCATCTCGTAAAGAACCAGTGCCCTCAACAAACTTTTGAAAATACATCTGCAAAACAGTAGAAATTCAGTCACATCCTCAGCAGTATCCTTCTGTAGCATCAGCTTTGAGAATGGACATCACCATGGGGAGGGAGCAGTTGAGCCACCTGGGATCAGGTCTGCTACTGGTAGCTGGATTAGAGAACTTCAGAAGCAATTAATTGTCAAATAGCTGACATATAGTAGTGAGCCTATTTTTTTTTTTTTAATTTTTTTTTGTAAGAAGTAACAAGATGACTTTACTGTGCCAATACCTGGCATAATTGCTAGTGATCCATGTATGAAATGTATTCAACACTAGAGTAGGTGGTCCTGCGTATGAAATCTCCAGCACTGGAGCTTCCAGCTACGTGCTAGAGAAGAATTTGTCAGCAGTACTTTAGGTCTAATCATCTTGCCTTCTAGGAGCAGTTGGATTAATTGACCTCAGAAGGTAATTTCTAGCACCATTTTATGCATTTCCATGGTTGCATTCATTGAATTATGCAACTGACTTTCAGGATTGGTAAGGATTGCCTTTACCTTTCCTATCAGTTAGTGATACTGTAGTTTTCAGTTAGGGGAGCACTTCTTCATCCAAAACTTAACGATATCACTTGCTACATAGCTTATAAAATCTGATATGCCACTTCTGCCTTTCAGCACAGTGAAAGTACCTCCCACATGAAGACAGGCTGAGAAAGTTGGGGCTGTTCAGCCTGGAGAAGAGAAGACTGTGTGGAGACCTCAGAGCAGCCTTCCAGTATCTGAAGGGGGCCTAAAGATGCTGGGGAGGGACTCTACATTAGGGACTGTAGTGACAGGACAAGGGGTAACGGGTTAAAACTTAAACAGGGGAAGTTTAAATTGGATAAAAGGAGGAAGTTCTTTACTGTAAGGGTGGCGAGGCACTGGAATGGGTTGGCCAGGGAGGCTGTGAATGCTCCGTCCCTGGCAGTGTTCAAGGCCAGGCGGACAAAGCTTTGGGTGGCATGGTTTAGTGTGAGGTGTCCCTGCCCATGGCAGGGGCGTTGGAACTGGATGATCTTAAGGTCCTTTCCAACCCTAACTATTCTATGATTCTATGAAAGATTTTTGAAGCTACATGGTACAGCATATAGGAGTATCTCAAATTAGCTAGCTCCTTACATTCTAATTATTCTTAGTGAACTTCCAGCTTATTGCATTCATGGTTGAAGTGTGTATAAGGGCAGTGAATGATTTACACCAGTTAGAGTAATAACATTGAAACATTAGCAAGGATAATGTATGATGCCGTACAACAAAAAGAGGAAAGAAAGCATCTAATACAGCTATTTTACAAACTCTCCTTCATTGAGTCTGTAACCCTCTTTCCATCCATTCAAGGTGTATTTGGTCTGGCTGAGATGGTGTTAATTTCTCCCCCTGGCAGCCCTCATAGTTCTGTGCTTTGTATTGGTATCTAGAAGGGATATTCCATAGCATACGACATTTGCTCAGCAATAAAAGCTATGGAGGAATTCAGTGTTTACCATGTTTGTCTTCTGGAGCAACCCTTAAGCGTACTGAAGCCCTGCTTCCCAGGCAATGGATGGATGTCATCTACTAATGAGGAGTTGAGAATAAATTCTTCTGTTTTCCTTTGCTTCCACATGCAACTTTTGCTTTACTAAACTACTTTTATCTTTACCTACAAGGGGAATTTTTCTATCTTGTTTTCTGTCCCCCATCCTGCTAACAAGCAGAGTTATAGAGCAGCTTGGTGGGTACCTGGCATCCAGCCAAGGTCAACCCACCATAGAAGGGTATATTTCTAATTCTTATTTTAGATACTTCAAATTGTGCTGTTATCCTCAAAAGTATTGGGTAAAACTTCAGCTGTGTGCCTTACCCATTGCCTTGTCTCTTTTCTCCTCTGTTCTGTCAGATCAAAGCTCTTCCTTTTCCCATTTAAAGGATCATTTAAATACAGAGCAAAGAGGATCTTCTCTTTGTTTTGACAGTACAATTTTATTTATTTAAAAAAATCACAAAAACATTTGGCTGGGCATGTGCTGATCAAATATGTCTGTGCATTTATACAACATCCAACAACAAAAAGGGAGGTGCTGGATAGTTGCATAAGATCAGTAATAGATGTCCAAATAGACTGTATTCCCTGGAAGAACTTGAGGCTAATTTTTCTGATTTTGAAACTGCTGGAATGGAACTGAGACCCTCTCAATGAATGTCCTTGTCTGTCCATGTCTGTTTCCTCATGTGTAAAACAGAAATAATAATATTTTCCTCTCCAATATGGTGTTACAGATCTCAATTAACATGCTTTCATTGCCTCAGCACTAAAATGTTTTGTTCTGTTGGTCTAAATCCAGTGTAAAAGCTACACATGGGCAACTGCAGAATTGGACTCTATGGTATTATTAGAGTCCTAATAATCATAACTCCAATCATAGCTAATTCCACTTAGGGATTTAAATTTACAAAATAGAAATATGAAGCCACTGTTGTCCACAATCTGAGAAGGGACAATAGGAGAAGTGTGAGATTAAACACGTGCTAAATTATCAATTAACAAGTGCAAACTTCCTCATGTTGACAAAGCATTAGAGTAGCCTGGAACTATTAAATTATAGACTTCAAAATGTTTGCTAGGTAGAAAAAAAGAAAAAAAAAAGCTTTTGTGGGTTACAAGGGAATCAAAATTATATCAGCCTTTCTAAGACAGACACAGGGAGACAATATACTGATCTTAAGTCTGCAGATAGGAGAACACAATTACTTTCAATTGGAAGGACATATTCATTATCCATCTGGAATTATCCTGTCTTGAATTTTCATAAGAAAACAGAATCTAAAAGTTGTATAATTTCTCTTGAAAAATACTGTTTATTGTATCTGAAATGCTCTTCTGACTCTGCTTTTGTTACTTCCACTGTTGTCAACTATCTGATGTTAGATGCTGTCTTTCCATTATGGCTTAAATAATGTTATAGACTCCGTTAAAATAGTTGTGCACAGTAAGCTGTTCTGATAATTCCGTTATAGATTTTCTAGAGATGACATCATGTTTTCTAATTTTCTGATACCAAAATATTACCTTGATTTTCTTTTTTTTCCTCTCTTCATTTAAAACCTTACAGATTATATGGATCTGGCATTACCCCAGTAATGAAAGTGCTAATCTTTTTCTTTCTTCTTTCTTAAAGCAAGTTTTCACATGGGATGTTTACAAAACTTGCTAGGCTAGTTCTTTTTATTTATTAAATTCCTACTTGGCATAGCACACAGAATAGCAAAGAAAAGTATCAGCCAGCGTTACAGTTCCTCACATCCCGACTTGTCTGGAGCCCAAAGTAGGACAAATCATTCAGACCTAACTTACAGTAATAGAATTAGACTGCTATCCTGTGTGGAGGCTTATCAGGCCCTACAACTGCTGGTTTCTGTCATTTCCAGCGTATGTCCATTTGCAGACTGTGAATTCAACTATCTCAGCTTTGTCCCTGGTTGGTTTTCTGGCTGTCTCTGTGTTGCAATACATAGGGGATTCAAACAAGACCAAGTGTTATGACCATTCCATATATTTCTTGGCACAGTCGAATATGTACATGTTTTAGTTTTGCTCCAGTTCAGGTTAATTTTCGGCTGAGGCAGTTCTCTTTCAACATCACAGTTGACATTTAATTCTGATTGGAGAAAAATAAAATGTCTGAGACCAGGTTTTGTCTGGAGTTTGATTTGATTCCCAGACTCGCTTCTGCTCTAACCACCGCGCTATTGTGTCCATCCTTCTTTCTCTGAACTAGTAACTATTTCTAAAGTAAAAGATTGGCAGCTGTCCCATGTTGCTGATTACGATACTTACCTGGATTATTATCCCTGTTCTGCATAATCCAAAGCAGAGGCACAGTCTGGGTCTCATCTGAGTATCTCAGCCACTCAGCTGTTTACTATTTGGGTCTTTCTTGCTTTTTTTTCCAGGACATATATTCCATATCCAACTTCAGAAACCATTCTAGTGAAAATATAACCTAGCAAATATCCTTAGCCAGATTTAACCTTCAGCCACAACAGTGACTGAATATTCAGAAACCCCTCTGCCTTTGCAAACTGCTGAGGACAGGCAGCCTCACATGATACCCTTGATAAATCCCTCCAGAAGTGCTTTCCTTAAAATCATTATTTCTGCCCTACCTTGAGCAGGCCTGAGGCTGTGACCTTCTCTTCAGAATCTTTTCTGGAAGAAATCAGAGACTGAAGAATCTAGGTTTGATTAAAAGATGTAGAGCTGAGTCATTTCAGCGAACTGGTAACACTCAGGCTTAACAGTCATCTCCTTTGGCATCATATCAGCTTTAGTCAAGTTGGTGTGGGGAGAGTGGGAAGAGCCCTTTGGATGAGTTTTTTAGTTCTGTGAACCAGCAGCTATACTTCTGATATCTTAGACCTCAGTTTTCAGATTAGTGGAGCTAAAAGTTTTTATTTTTACAGCTTTCCACTCTGCTGAGCTTCTTGCTAAGTCATAAAATCTAAGGTACTGCAATATTTAGTCTATTAATGTGCATATAGAGAGCTTATATCTGCAATATCCAATATAAAGGTGGCTTTGCATGACTCCTACTTTAGCAGACACTTGAGGATCCCCACAAAATACTCCCCACAAGGGAGTATAAGAAGAATCATCCTTTGGTTAACTGCTTGAGAAGGTGTAGTGCATCTCTTTCTGACATTCAGGCATCTTTAAATGCTGATTATTCCTGACTGTCAGCATGGCCTGTTGTAGCCACAGGTGTTGGCTATAATTGAGAACATCCATCAGACATCTAGGAATTCTAGAACAATACTATGCCTGATCAAAATTAAAACTGGTAAAAAAAGAAAAAATGTGATGGAAAATGCATTTCCCACTGGAAAATTCAGATTTACCAGAGTATTTCAGAGTAATCTATTTGCTTTATCAATTTTTTTTACTGGCAAGAGCAAAATTCAGCTTAAAAAAATAACAAGACATTTAATTTATAGTTTGTGTAATAGAATATAATGAACTTCAAGTAACAGCAAACCTATAAGGAAATGAAAAGCATCATTGGGATGTACTGTTTTTATTCTAGACAGACATTTAGCAGCTCTGAAGAACTGATATAAGGTTAGCCACAGGAATCACAAGACTAAGCCAGAGGCAAAAGCAGGATCCAAGAGTTTGGGGTCTGAACAGGCAGGAGGGAGAACGCAAGATGAATGCAAGAACTAATGCATTACTGAACTGCAGCTTGAGCAAAAGGCAAGAACAGTGGTAGATTTGAAAGTTTTGTTCCTGTGTGGTGTCAAGAGGTGGGCACTGTAGGAGGTTCCATGGCAAGAGCCATTATTCTAGCTTCTGCAATCACAACGTCACAAGCTGTGTTGATTCATTGCCTGTCACCTCCTGCTGACTCCCAGTACATCATCACAGGGGAAGTGTCCCTTCTTAGCAAATGTCCTTGTATTAAAGGCTACTATGATATACATTAAATAAATAGAAGGAGTTCAGAGGCAGAGTTCCTAGACTGGGCTACTCTTGAGCTCTGAAAGGGAAGGGACCAGTTCCTATCCCGTTAGTAGCAGAATGCACTGGAAATAAATTTTAAATAATACCAATAATAGCAGCTAAAAGCTAACAAAAAAACAAAAACAGTCATATAAGGTCACCTACACTAATAAACACCATCATTACAGACCCACACATCTGTGAATAGTGAATCTGCAAAAAGCTTTGTTTTGCTGTTCAGAAGAAGTGACAATGAAAAGAATGGTTCAAAATAACTGCATCCTTACAATTCCCTGCAAAATGGGAAGGGACAATCTCAAGACTATTCATTTTGATGATTTTGCCACTTTGCTAGATCCAGCTGGTTTAAATAAGCTCAGGAGAGGCTGTGGGACAGGACCTGATTCTGCAGGGGCAGTGCAGAGAGGGACTTTTTCAGGGGCTGTGGCAATCCTCTCGTTAAAAAAACAAACCCACCTTTGCTGCATTCCAGTTTCTGTAAAGCAGAAGACTTTTTTTCAAAGTAGTTGCTGAAACTTTAATCTTGATTTGATTGTGTCTGGGTTTCTTTTATTTGTGAATATTCCAACATCCAGCCTTTGATGTTACCTTTGAGCAGAGCCTTATCAGGTCCTCAAAACACCTTCACAGATGTAGATTTTTTTTTTCTATTGTGTTAGCCTGGTTTGAAAAGAACCTAATTGACCTGCTCTAATAATAGGTGTGACTTTAAAGTTTGATCCCATTTTACAAGGGTTTGCATCTCTTGGTTCTGTCTTTTGAACACTTATCAAGAGACATTTGTCAGCTTCTAAAAGGCTTTTAGCTAGTCCACATGTATGGACAGTACCTAATGGACACTATCTATTTATTCACTGGTCTCCACAACTGTGAAATGTGATTCTTTTCTGTTTTACAACATCAAAATGTTTTCTATTTTTAGGTCAAAATGAAAAATCCATTTGTCTTATTTAGCTTTTTAAATATTTATTTTATGGTATTTTACATTCTTTGTGCTTTTGCCGTGAGGCATTTGTACATAACATGCTTTAAAATGTGCACATGATTCATTTGATTTTTGAGGCTGGCAACAGGAGTCAGGTTTCACTCCTTCTGAAACTGCAGGAAAGTGACGGGATCTTATCAGAGAAAGGGACTCTTACATTTGTCTTGCAAAGAAGAAGGAAAGTTATATTGAAAAGAATGACCATGACAAGACTTTAAAAGGAATGGGCTGGATTCTTTTCTGTATCTCTACTGGCTCTGCCAGGTAAGAATCTGACCCAGTAATTTTTCTGTTTTCTGTAACTTCAGAGAATCATGAAAATTCAAGCCCACAACATTTTATTGTCCCTACATTTTACTGCCTCAATGGAGAAATATGGTGATTTATCACTGAGAGGCAGAAATAGATTCTGTATTCGCAATGTCTCCCATTTCCACTCCATAGGCCAGCTTAATCGGACATGTCAGTTCAAAGGATGCAAAACTTCCTGCCGGAGGAAGGCACTGATTGAACTGTTAAAGCCTGATTCTGCAGGTTGCACTCAGGTGCAGTGGTTCCTGCTCACTTAAACAGGCCTATTGATGAGAACTGGAGCTCTACAGTCTGGGCTGGATCTAAACATCCTGATTCCATGTTTATGCAGTAAAAATTCTTACATCAGTTAATGGGAATTGTGTGAGAACAAGAATTTAGTAAAAAGTGAGGATGGCAGGATTTGGATCTGTACCAAACACCTAGGAGAAGGCTGCGCTTCCTGCCCTCTCAGTTAGAAGTTGGGTGTTGTGAAACTGCCAGCAATGCCAAGACAGTTGGCAAGTGAGCAAGACAAAAATAATAGAATTAAAGGGGAGAAGAACTTTTTGCAATTAAAATTGCATGTACTGGCATTTCTAGTACGTGGCAGAGATCCTGCACATTTTACTCCTGAGTAACAAAGAAGAGAGCTGTGTATGTCACCATGGAAATGTAAATGGAGCTCCTTTGACAAATAGAGAAATGTATGCCATTCCTTTATGCTCAAATGAACTGTTAGTAGTGGGATGCAAGAGAAGAAAGGGACGTCTGTTACAGAAAAGACATGAAAATTCAATTGTAGTACCTTGTTCTCTGTTCTGTTATATTTTTATTAGGAGTTTAAAAAAAAGGGGGGGGGGGAAGACTGATTTTTTTTAACTAATTCATTAACCCAGTATTTTTAGCAGGGAGTATAAAATAGCAGTGATCAAACATGTAGCAAAGAACACAGGAGAAAACAGTGTTGTATGCTACACCGCTTCTACCTGGACTGAATATCTGCTCATTTAAAATAAATAAATGAAAAAAATGGCTATTTATGAATGTAAGGAAATTTACAAAGGGGTGGGCAGTTGTGTTCCAACATTACAAAGTTATTTGGAGAGATTTTTTTGGTTAGTTTTTATAGTCAACAGATGTTTGATAATTTCTGTTCTAATTCTGACTGCATCATTCCTTTCTTTCTTGGGGCATGAATGTGGAGTACCAGGCAAAAATGATGAACAGCAATCTGTATTGGGAGCTCAAGAACTCGTAACTTTTCTGATATTCTGAAGATACCTGCTTAGATTTTTGCTATGTGCATTTGGAACAGAGAGCTAAGTAAATAGCATCAAATATTTTCTGGCTTCTATGCTGCTGCTCTAATATATGCTTGTGCTTGATTCCTCCAAATACATCTGAGTTCAACTCCCACAGTGACTGTGAGAATTGGGTGTCTAGTTCATATGTTTGGGTATTTGAACTAGGAGATAAGCAAGGGAGATGGAGTTGCCAAGCCAGTTTCTTTAGACTCAAAAACTTAAAGGCAAAGGAAACAGAGAAGGATTTAAATCCAAACACTTTATTTACCTTTTAACTCCTCTTGGAGTTATGCTTTATGACTGTCATAAGATGAAGTAACTTTAAACTCTATAGCAAGCCAATGAACTTTATAGTATCCTGTTTTCCTCTTAGGAATAAGGCCTTGGATGAGGCTTCTGCAGCTCAGAAAGGAAAAGCTTTAATGGTATCTATTGTTCACCTAATTTTGCTAATTTTTATTGCTTTCTAACAGAAACCCAGTACCTTCTTTAACCCATCTTGTTGATTTAAATTCATTCAGAGTAGCAATGACGCTCCACCCAGCTCATGTTTTGAATATGGAATTTGAATGTACTCAGGGAAGTTTGTCATCAAGATACAGGGCACTTTTTGTAAGTTACAGAAAAGATTTGTGAGTAAAATTAATTGAGAAATTAATGGAAATCTTGAGCAATCTGAAAATTTTCTAGGAACAGAAATGGCCAGTCAATTACTAATCGCCTCTGAAATATAACCATAAAGATTGTCTTGTGACTAAATTGGCTTGTTAAAATATGCTCAGGAGTGACCATTACCATATTCTTTATATATTATGAATTAAGTTTCAGTTTTTTTAGTTTGGAAGAAATGTATGTTTAAAGAAATTAGGGAAAATGCAATGCGTTCAAAGATAATGCTATTCCCATCACTTTTATAGACTTTTTTCTCCCCCAAGTAATCTAAGGTGATGCATTTTGTTTCCTCGGTACTAAAACGCAACTGATTTTGAAAGGGAAGTGATACCAGGCAGCATTTCACAGCAATCTGGGACAGAAAGTGCGCAGCTAACAATGCCGGATCGCTTTAGGGAGACAGACTATTGTATGGCCAGAGTGAAAACAGTGCTGGGGAAAGGATCATGGTAGATTGTGTCAGCACTTTTCTCAAGGTATCTGATTTTCCTTTAAAAGTTAGTGCTTCCTTTAAAAGTTGGTCTTCCACACCTAGGATAATAGTCCTCTAAGATAACTTTAAGGTATTTGGTTCACATGTACCTTATGAAGGGTCCTTTCTGACCTCAATGTCTCACAGCCTAGCTTTTGTCATGGGTCCTGCTGAGTAACAGGATTTTCTATAGCGTCATGTGCCAAGAGTCTGCAGCTTCCTCTTCCCCCACCATATCTATATACGACTTCATACACCTTGCTGTTGTCCTTTGGGCTCGTCTTGATGACGAATTTACATGAGGTTGGCTTGTTTTTTCTTCACGCAGTGTTTAACTGTACAGAAACTGTAGTACCATTCTGTCTTCGTACTTCAGTAAAAAGGCTTCAGTAGCTTGCCTGCCAACCAGTGCAAACTTCTGTACTGGCTGGCAAGAACTGGTGGGACATGAGAACTTTATGTTGTGGGAGATGCCTCATGCAACTTTTTCTGGTCTGCTCCATATTCTGTTTTTCAGGGAGGATACTGCTGGTTTCTTTCACCATAAGCATATTGGAAGAATAGAAATTCTGGAATGAGACAGAATCAAACTAACAAGTAATTCCTCTCACAAAATCCAGTAGTAGTTATGAGGTGGGTTTTGAGCTGCTATCCTATAGCTGAGAGAAGGACAGTGACCATGGCAATTCCTGTGTGAACAGCACTTGGAGTCTCATGACCAGCTGCAATTTCGTGTTGCAGCTTTGTGGGATGAGGATACTGTGGGGGTGAGGTATAGCAGGAGCAGGAAGAGCAAGTAAGTAAATTTGAAGAGAGAGATTTGCAGGCCTTTATATGGAGCAGTTACAATCAGCTGCTTTTAAAGTACACCCCAGTTATACTGCAATTCTAAGGGAGTTGCTGTGCCTTGCATTGTGCATACCAAAATGAATGCTCTTCATCTCAAGTTCTTTTTTAAAACACCTACAGTTCAGCATAAAGCACACTGCAAAATTAATAGCATTCTGAAGTAGTTGTTCTCAACGGAAAGGGTTCAAGCAACCCTGGATGCCTATAACACCTTAAAATCTCTGTGCTGCTTGAAATGTCTCTGTAGCCTAATTTGAGCTACTCAGTTCATAAAACCTCATCTTAACACAAAATTGAATGAATAACTGAAACTGATAGTTTTAATATCACTTTTCCTGTATCTGTGGCTGCAATAAACATGTTTGCTTTGCAGTATATTTGAATTTTGCACCCATCTTCCCCCATCTTGTGCTGTTTTTCAATAGGAAGATGAGAGCTGGCAAGCATTTGGGAGCAGAGAAACAGGTTTGGGAAGCAGCTCAGTAAGAGGGAGGTTAAAGCAAAAAGTGTGCCTCCTGCGTTAGAATTTGTTACTGCAGAGACATAAAACAGCATTAGGTTTACGGCACTTTCATGCGTTAGTGAGGGACTTGGGAATGAGAGGATTAAAAGACAACAAGCAGAAGGAGAGCTGTAGCTTCTAACTCTTCCCAAAATGGTAATGAAGAGCTGGATACAGAAAAAATGAGATTTAAATTCCTCCCTGTGCAGTTTATAAGATAATACAGTTCATTATATTTAATAATAGATGTCCTTCTGTTGTATAGATTTGTAAACAAGGACTGGGTGAGCTGTGTGAATGCACACAGCTTGTAAAGCACACAGCTTGTCACTGTCTGCAGGCTGCAAGAGCTGTGCAGGGAGGGATGTGGGTGCTGGCCCAGCAGTGGCAGGGAGCCTGTGGGAGCAGGTAGGGAACGGTCATGTACAGCACTCTGTTGTTCATTCCTAGCAGTGTACAGTAAAAGTTTCCAGTGCCTTTTGCTGTGGCTTGTTGAAGAAGAGTTTTAGTGCAGTTCCTCTTCCCTTTGGCTCTTTTTTTTTGTGACAGTTTTTCTGCTTTGTCTCACTACTGAGGTCAGATTTGGATGTCTGATTTTCATTTATTTGTACTGAATCTCATAGGTGCCTTCACTCTTTAGATAGGACTGGTTGTGCAATTTACCACAGAGAGAAATGAAATCTAGGGCTTCTAGCGCACACAGGAGCACCTGAAAAACAACAGTTTTAAAGGGGATGTGACAGTGGTTATATGAACTCAGTTCTGCCTAGGGGTCTAAAAAGAACTTCTGTCTGTCTAACGGCCTTGGAGGAGAGACAAGAAAATGAATCCATATGAGCCCAGAATTGCTGTGAGTGTGTGATGCACAGATTTGTGATATAATACAGTGAGAGGATCATCAAAATAGAGTAGACGGTGGTTTTTGTTTGCCTAGAACAAAGAGATGTATATAGTGTTACTCCTGTTCCAGAAGGCTTACTCACATAGAAATAATATGCCAGTGATAGGGCTTAGATTGAAAGCATTTTAGGGATAACAAAGAAAAATTGACTCCCCGACTGTATGGGAAATAAACTGGTAGTTTCAATATAGTTCCTGGGATCTTGATGCCATACCACGAAAATTAATGTAATTTATACCAGTTGCATTTCAGCTGCCAGATTCA